CACCTCGTCCTGCCAGGGAGCATCTTGTTTCAAATCAAGGCACCTTTACACACACACACACACACACACGTATGTATGTATACATGTACACACATGTATGTATGTATCTATATATACACATACATGCATATATACATATATACACGTATGCATGTATACACATATATGTATACACACACACATATGTATACACACACGTATGCATGTATACACACGTATGTGTGTGCATATGTATGTATAAATACATGTATGTATACACATACACACACGTATGTGTACACACACACATATGTATATACACACACGTGTGTGCGTGCGTGTGTATATGTATAAATATATGTATGTATACACATACATACACACACACACATACATACATATATGTACATATATATGTATGTGTGTGTGTGTATATATATATATATGTGTGTGTATACACACACACACACACACACACATATATAGAGGTGCCTTGATTTTAAACAAGATCCTTCCTAGCAGCACAAGGTCGGCACCATGTGACATATACATATATAAATACACATAAACATATATATAAAGATATATAAACATAAACATATAAAACATATATATAAACATATATATATAAATATTTAGGGGTTTTTGGCTTGTGTGTTTTTTAAGCCTGTAATTGGTGTTCGCGCCTGAACAGCCAGGACAGCCGAGCTCAGGTAAAGCAGCTTATTCCGGTGTTTCCTGGATTTATGGGGCATTGTAAAAAAAGGGAGGAAAACACCAAGCAGAGCAGCAAGAGAGAGAGAGGCCTGGAAAGTAGTGAGGCTCACCTCAGGTCTCTGGATAGTCCTAAATAATTTCCTGGCCCGAGAGCGGAGCGGCTGGAGCTGAGGGGAGGGCACATCTCGTCTCCCTGTGGGGTTTTCTTGCCTCTGCTGGTAGCGGGGGGAGCACTCCGCTGTGTGTCATAAGCCCTATAATGTCACTGGAGAGTCTCAAGTGACCACTGTGTTTTTCGGCGGGGCGGGCAGGGGAATCTGGAGTCCAGCTTCAGGGCTGCCAAAAATTACTGATCATCACCCACAAACTCCCCCGGGGGCTCTGGGTTTGCCACAGCGTGGTCTGCCACGGCAGAGGTCTGGGGGCCTGTCGGTAGGACCCAGGGGTTGGCAGCACTGGCAGAGCTAAGGGGGGCTCGGTGGAGGCCCTGAACAAGATCATTTCCAGTTCTTCCCCCCCGTCTCTGCTCTTTGCATTTCCAGCATCCCACCCCACAGACACAGGGAAAGCCGTGGCCTGTCCCCCGCCGGCCCTGCCACTCTACGCGGGCGCAGGTCGGGAGGGGAAACTGAGGCGGGGAGCAGGGGGTTGACTTGCCCAAGGCCCATGGCAGAACCCCGGCGTCCAGCTCCCTGGATTCGCCCCTCGGCCACGACACGATGGAGGTGAAGGCGGAGGGGGTGCAACAAGCCTGGCCGGGGTCCCTGTCCCTGCAGCGTTGGCCCCAGCCCCAGCGCGGGGCTGCGGGCGTGACAGCGATGCAGGGGCACTAATGCATTCACCAAGCCCGGGAAGCATCGGGGAACCAGCACAACAGCCTCCACCAACTGGGCCTGGGGGTCAGGATGCCTCCCCCTGGGCCTGCTCCTGCCCCTCTGGGCCTTAGCAAAGCAATTATTAACCCTTGGGGTGCGGGGGAAAATGGCTCTATTAACCCTTTGGATGCCAGGGGTGCAGGAGACCAGCCTCCCTAACCCAACCCAGGATGACTAGATTGCGGGGGGGGGGGGTGTCTTACTCCCCTCCTACCAGATGCTTTTGAAAGCCAGGGCCAACTCCTGGAAAGAAAAACCAGAGTGGGGGGAAAAAGAGGGATCCCATACCCAGCCCTGTGTGCTGCGGGGATGGACAAGCCACCTGTAGCAGGATGGGCTCTTGCAGGCTGCCCAGCCCCCCGACCCCCCCTGCTGCCAGGGGAAGAATGGGAGAGAGGGAAACCTATTACATTAATAACCAGCAAGAAAAATAGTCATGCACCAGCTGGCAAAACTATTGATCAGCCGCCAGATTTAATGAGCAAACGCTAACGGATGCCCAGGGAGGAGATGGCCCTGCCAAGGAGAAAGGACTTTGTGGCACCGTGTTGCTTTGCTTTGCCAGGCTGGACTAGGCCCCCTCCCTCCCCCCATGCTCCTAATAGGCTCAGTAATGGGCGGGGGGCGCTGGCTGGGATGGGGCAGGTGGAGCAGGGCGGAGGGCTGTGATTTGGGGTAAGTGCCCCCCACCTCCGCAGGGGCTGTGGTTTGGGGAGGGGAGATGGCACTGGCTGCTGGGCCCGGATCCCGTCTGGCTCCCAGGATATAGCAGAGCTGGACACCCACGCTTTCATTACCCGATGCAGGAGCTGTGGGCGTCCTTGGCGCTGGGGGTCCCGAGCCCGGCCCCGCTGCCATTCTTCCCGGTGTACCGTGGTGCTGCAGCCCAGAAGCAGCTGCATTTGGACGGTGCTGCAGGCAGCCAGCAAGGGGAGGCCCGTGGGTGTGGTGAGAGGCACCAGCAACACCAGCATCAGCGACACTGACGCTGCTGAGTGTGGCGAAGCTCCTTGGGGGACGGAGCCGGCCCCGAGGTCCTAGTGGGGCTTCCCAGGACACCCAGGAGGAGGGGAAGGGAGAAGGGGGATGGCTCCGACCCGGGCCTGAGGGAACATGGCTTGGCTCCCAGGGTCTCTGCTGCTCACCCAGATCCTTCCTGCAGTTGCTGTCTTGGCTCGTCCAGCTGTGAAGCCTCCCCGCAACCCCAGGGAAGACCGAGCTGCAAGGAGGCAGAGAGCCATCGAGATCCACTGTCCGGCCACATGCCAAGGCCCCACTTTGCCCCAGGGAGGAGACCAGAGGCTGCACGGCCACCCCTAGCACGTCCCTCTGCCTCAGGCTGCTGGGATGGGCCAGGGGGTGAGATCCCTCAGTGAGGCCTGGAGCCCTCTCCACCTCCCCGGCCTGCAAGCACCTCTGCGGGGAGCAGTACGGGGCTCATGACACACGGCATAGTAGTCCCGATTCCCTGCAGGACAGAAGAGGGGAGCGTGCGCTCACACTCTCACCCCCTTCTTGGTCCTTAGTGATTCCAGGATCTCCCCTTGCATTAACCAGAGCCTTGTCTTCCTGGCACTGGGTCGCTCCTCCTGGCGGCCCCCTCTCCCTTTACCCCACGTACCCTGCGGGTAGGTGGATTTTGGCTGCTTTGCTTTCTGGAGCACCTGGCAGCTGAGAGTGGCTCTCCCTGCTGCGCCCAGCCTTGCAGGCCTGCAGCTGTAAACTTGGGGGCAGATGGGGGAGCAGGCACGGTGCCCGCAAGGGCGATACGGACACCTGCCATTGATGCACGCCTGCAATAGGAGCCCAGCAGGCCAGAGAGACCCCAAACCCACGCACCGGGGAGGAGACCAAGGTGAGGTCCTCTAGCAAAGCCCTGAACAAAGCTTCAGGCAGGTTTTAGGTCGCAAAAAATAGCTGGAAACCTCCCCCCCAGCCTACTCCCGAGCCCCATGTGGCCTGGGAATTTGCTGCTAGAGAAAAATTAGCAGTGGGGCCCAAGAGGCGATTAAGCCAATCCTTCGTGCTGCAAGGTTATCACCCGCGAGCTGGCAGCTAATTACGGAGATAAATTGCAAGCAGGTAGCTTGGTCCCGTTCCCCTGCCCCCCCCACGCCCGCAAGGTGCCCTGGCAGCGGGCACAGGGTGCGCTATAAGGAGGGGGGGCAGGTCGGAGCTGTGGGGGATGTGGATTTTGGGGAGCCGTGGGGAGTTTGAGTGAACTGGGGGGGTGCCCCCCTCTGGTGTAGACTGCTGGAGGATGGCTCCCCAACCTTGGGGGCAAGGACTCTCCAGCCTGGCATGCTCACCCCCAAGCAGGGCACGCCATGAGGCTGAGCGCAAGGACTTCCTGGAGGAAGCAGGGCCCTGTCGAACGCATCGGCCCGCATGGCAGCCAGGAGGCAGGACAGGACTCCCCCCGCCCCCTAGAAGGGAAACTGAGGCACCTGCTAGTACCAAGAGAACAGGGGGACTGGGCCTGTCTCCCAAGAGCCAGGCCGGCCCCAACCCACCACCCAACCCTTCTTTCCCCCGTACGTGGCTTACCGCAGGGCTGTCACACGACTCCAGGGGCTGTGGGGCACGTCTGCCTGCCCTCCTGGGCCCACGCTACCCCAGGCCCTTTGTTCTCGTCTCCACTGCTCAGGGCACTGCTGCTGGGCAGCTCACAGCAGGATCCTCCTTGGCCTGCGCGCACCTCTATTCCAGTCAGGGATCAGGGTCGAAAGGACAAGAAGGGGCAACTGGAGGCAGGAGCTCCAGCACCTGCTCTGGGAACTGGCCTCCGGGAACCGGCCACCGGATGCTGCCGGGGTCCTGGGGGCCATTTGCAAAGGTTCCCTGTGGCCTCTACCCACCCCTCCAAGGGAGGTGGGTTTTGCTGCAGATAGAGGAGCCCAGCCCCGGGCTGCAGGATCTTGCTGCTTTTGGCTTGAAAGCTGAAGCTCCAAGGAGGTGGGTGGCAGGGAAGGGATACAGGTATCCCTCATCCATGCAGACGTGATCCTTGCTTGCAGAAAAGGCCCCGCTCACACAGTCCCTCCGCAGGCAGCCCCGAGGGAGCAGAGGGCACGGGCAGCCTGCAGAGTCCCGACACCTCCCCAGTCACTGTGGCATCTGGGTGCCGGGGACAGACAGAGCCGTGCAGGGCTCGCTGGCGCAGCCTCTAGCGCCAACCCAGTGCATCAGAGGGCCGTGAAGGAGAAGGAAGAGGAGAGGGAAAGGCCCCTCGGGGCTAAAAGCCTGATCTCGGCCCACTGCCGTCAGCTGGATGCGCTTGTGATCGTCTGTGGGTTCTTCTGCTTCGTTACAAGCGGAGTCTGCCGAGGGGGCACGGGTGGCTCAGGGGGTAGGGTCCCCAGGGGTCTGGCCCCTCCCTGCCCCCAAACGTCCCCCTTGATCAATGCCACTGTGGCCCCCGTTACGGCCGTCCTCTAGCTCAGACTGCACTGATGGCATCTCCCCCAACTCCGTGCCCACTGCTCAGCATGGGAACACCAAGCTGTGAGCTCCGGAAAGCAAGGACAGCTTGGCTTGCAGAGCCTGCCTGGCTCTTGTTTGATGCCCCTGTTGGGCTCTGTGCAGGGAACCAGGCTTTCCTCCAGCTGCAGAGCCTCCAAACACCCCTGGCCCCAGCTCCCGGCTCACCCCAGGGGGGCAGAGGAGCTAGAGCCACGGTGCTGAAGGATGGGCTCCAGGGGCAGAAGGGGGTGCAAGTGCCTTGCTGTTGGGTGGGCCTTAGGCTGCTTGGCTTCTACCCAGAGCTGGAGCTGACAGGTGCCTGCTTCAAGCTGGGGAGAGGAAGCCAGAGAGCAGGGCCTCAACCCAGAGCTCCTGAGAGGGAGTGACAGCCTGCTCCCTCATGCACCCAGGCAGGGAGGGCAGTCTGCACGGCAGGGTAATGCAGGCGATGGACACCAACAGCATTCCCCCCGCAGGGACCAGGCAAGCCCTGCCGGCCCTCCCTGCCACCTCCAGGCTGCTGCAGTACCTGGCAGCACAGGTACTGCAGAAAGCTGATGCCCTCGGGTGCTGCCCCAGGGGATGATGGGGAGGCCTTGGAGGACGCAGCAGCACTTGTCCCCTTCCTTACAAAGGAGGTAGCAGGTGGAGTGAGGGATCTCTGAGTGCCAGCCCAGAGCCCGACCTGGGGCAGCTGGTCTGTTGGAGGCAGCACCCACTCAGGTGAGACACAGACACACGGGTGTGGACAAAGGCAGGGAAGCGGGGGGATAAGGAAGTCCCCAGCAGGCACTTGGACGAGGCCTGTCCCTGCTAGTCGAACATTTCAGCCCCGCACAGCACAGCTCCGGAGTCACTGGGGAAGGGAGCTGGGGACGAGCTGCTGATCGATCCCTGGCAGAGGAGACGGACAAAGTGACAAGCCACCAAGGACAGTCCAGGGAGGACAGATCCAAGGACTACAGGGTGGGGTGACAATGACTGGGGGTCCTACACCACGTGACAGAAGAGACCCAGGTGGCCAGCCAGGGAAGAGCAGAGGGATCAGAGCCAGCTCATGCTCAGCAAGGTCCCCTGAGATGCTCCCTTCCCCTATCCCCGAAGCAGGGACAGCGCTGCAGTGCCCCGACCTGCAGCAGCACGAGGGAGGCGCCGAGGTGGCTGCGCCAAAGCAGAGAGCAGGACAGCAAGGAAACCCCCAGCACATCGCGCTACAAAACCTGTCATTTATGAAACCCACCAGGCTATGCTACAGCATACAAAAGGGAACGGCGGCAGATCTGCCACCAACACGGAAACCAAATTACTGGACCTGGGGCAGGGGAAAGAAAAAGATGGAGAGAGCAGGCTGGGGTTTGCCTGCCTCTGCCAGTCAGGTAGCCCCTCACTGCCCTCCCCATGAAGTTACTTGCGCACCCTGGAATAACCTGCTCCCAGACCCTCAAAGCACCTTGGGAGGGCAGGGGGTGCAGCCACGTCCCTCCATCCTGCCCGAGTTGAGGGGGGCTTGCACCTCAGCAGCTCTGTCTGGCTGTTGCTGACAGGAGTCCAACCCTACTTCCTGGCAGCGCTGGATTCAGCGTCACAAGGCAGCATCAACTGGATGGCAGTGGGGGTGTCCTCTCCTGCCGCCCCATTGCCAGGACCCCGTGGGGCACCTGCAGAGGCTGGGGTGAGCCCACAGGCCTGTGCACACAGCATATTCGAGGAGGAGTCCGAGGGAGCCCAGGTCCTCTCAGTGTCTCTGGTCCTGGCTGCCCAAGCCTTGTGCCCTGCGGCATGGTTCCACGTGGACCCTGCGCTCCCCCGACACGCCCAGATGGAGCCACGTGCAACCAGGTACATGCGACGGCCTGGGCAGCGCGTGTCCAAGGACCTGTGCACTCTGAAGCGTGCAGTCTTTGGCAGAGGGCTGCTCGGACACAGGCGCCACGTGTGCTCACATGCCTGTGAGCGGGCAGGAAAGCGAGCAGGGCTGGGCGTGGGGTGGGCTCTTACTTGGCCGATTTGGTGAGGAAACGGGCAGAGAATTCAAACAGGTTCTTGTTGATTTTCCTCAGGGTCTGCACTTCCTCCTCCAGGTCCGTCACCTGGATCTTCAGCTGCTCCTGGTCTCCCATCAGGTTCTGTTGCAGGGGAAGAGGTGACACCAGGGGTTGGGAGGCCCAAACTCCTGGCCCTCAGCAGACCCAGGCAGGAGTTTATGGGGTTCAGACAGTACGACCCTCCCAAAGTCAGGCTGTACCACACCAACCCCCTGCCCCACTTGGTCCCAGTCAGATCTCTGGTTTCAGGGAGCATGTTGTTAGCTCACCCCTCTGGGCCCTACCCTTCGGGGATATGTTCAGGAGGCTTGTGGGCCTGGTTTCAGTGGGGGGGGAGGGAACCCCACTACCGCCCAGCCTTCCCTGCCCAGCCCCTCTCCCCAATGTGGCCTCACCTTTTCCCGTGTGGAGCACATCTGCGAGTACAGCCGCTCGGCCCTCTCCAGGTAGCTCTCCCCAGAGCCCTGCAAGGAAGAGGGGCAGAGTCACCCAAAGAGCCAGGCTCCCCGCCCAGGGGCACACAGAGGCCTGCAGGGAGGGTGCCCAGCCCAGCACTGTTCCCCCCTGCCCCAAGATCTCCCTGGGCTGGTCCTAAGATGCCCTATCCCTGCTTTACCAGACTGTGGCCCTCCCTGCCCAGAGAACACCTGCTAGACAGAAAAAGGCAGTCACTTCCACCCCAGCCGCATCCAGCCAAGGCAAGATGAACTGCTATTTGGCCCCTCAGCACAGAGCCAGGAAGTCTAAGGGCTTTGCTCCAAAGCCACCGGTCAGGCCTCAAGCACTGCTCCCTTGTCCAGCCAAAGAATTGCTCCTCCCACGCCACCGAGGGCTGGAGGGAGCTTGCAACTTGCAGGAGGCGAAGAGTCTGGCTGCGGACAGGGGGTTTCCATGAAGAAGCACGAGCCCCCAGCAATGACCAACACGAGTCTCTCTCCATGCGTGCCAGTCCTCGGCCCTATGGGCAGGCCCCGAATGGCAGGGGTCATGTCTGGGGTGGAAGGTGGCAGCTATTCAGTGGCACAGAGCAGCAGGCAGGGAGGAAAAATGACTGCACCAAATTGGGCTGCCCAGAGCCAGGGGGAGGATTTCACTGCAGAGGTTTGGCCAGGGGAAGCAGGCGCTGGCAGGGAGCGCCATGGCCTCAGCTCACACGGAACGCACACTTGGCACCTCCTGACCTCAGGCTGGGGCCACCAGAAAGCCCTCGTGCCCCAGGGGAGGGTGCCCCTGGCATACCAGCCCCCCTCCCCCTGGGTAAATGCCAGGGCATTAGAAGGCAGCACTGATGCCAACGGGGTGCTATATTACTCAGAGCAGACAGCCCCCCCACCCCCCCAAC